TCCCTCTCTCTCTTTCTTTTGTGAAACATATCATCCTTTCTTTTTGGAAGCTAGATCATCATAAACTAAAATATTTTTATCTTATTACTTTAGTTTCCTGAAGAAACATGTACATTCACTACAATTATTTCTAATTTTATGTACTCAGATTTTATAGATACTCTAATCTATTTGAGCAGTGTTCATGTGTCTGCCTTTTATATTATCTACTATGTTATTCAGTGTCAACTTTATACATATTTTATAGATCTGGCAAAAGACTGTCCTTTTGTTTATATCAGACAATGAAAATTTCTATTTGTAGTCAAGGGACATTGTTATTAGGAAAGTCAGTGAGGAATTTAATGCTCAACAGTAACATTTAATTCAAACAAGCTGAGCTTCAGCTTCATTATTAATTTAGTTTTACAATTTATGCATGTCTTTACTACATTTTCCATCTGATACTTAGAAAAACACTTTGAAAGAATAGGCTTATTATTATTAATATCACAGGACAGTGAAAATAATGATGTTTAAAACCTTAAGGTGTATGTTCAAAATTACGTTTCTAGTAATTGTCAGGAACCCAACTTTCTGATCCTCAATATCTAGGACATTTCATTTAACTACTGTTCATATTCCTGTATTTTCTTTTCAACTGTAAGGGTTGAAAAACCCTTACTTATATATGATTACCCTTAGATATTGATTTTGGAATCCAGTGTTGTATAAATTCTAAGCCAACAATACATGAATGGAAACCAGAATTTTCTCAAATCCTACATTTTTTGTCATTCTATAAATAAATAACATATAACTCAATGTACTGACTTTAGTGCTAGATCATGAAGATACAGAGTAAGTAAATCAGATTTGTTGGAGAGTTCAAGATGCCAGAGCATATTGTCTAGGCATATTGAGCTGTTCGGTATCACGCTAAATGAAAAAAGCAGTCAGAGAAAGACAAATACTGTACAATATTATATATATATGGAATTAAAAAAATCCAAATTTATAGAAATGAGGGTAGAATGATGATTAAAAGGGAATGGAGGGTGGGACAAATAAGTAGATATTGGTAAGATTACAGACTTCCAGTTAAAAGGTAAATAAGTTCTGAGACTAACGCACAGCTTTGTGACTGTAGTCAACAATACTATATTATATGCTTGAAAGTTGCTAAGAGCTATCTTAAATATAAATATGTGACCTGAAGGAGATGTTTAAATTGAAACATATGAGTATATCTAATCAACACATTGTACACCTTAAATGTACACATGTTACATGTTAATTATATCTCAATAAAGCTAGAAAAATAAAATAGAATTGTCCTTTTATGCCCCTATTTCTTTTTCTTCTAAAGAAGGTGGAACAAGATATATAACTGACATATGAATGCCAGATTAAATTACATCAAATTAAGTTAAACATCACAAGAGCTTTATCATCCTTTAGTAATCTTTCCTATCAGAGAGGGTTACAGGTCAAAATAAGTTAGATATTTTCAATTTGAGGGAGTGACTGACCACTCACGATTCTTTGTCTTGGCCAGCCTTCTTTCCTTGCAACACGGCGTTCACTGAGGAACCATGTGCTAGGTGTCTTGAGGGATGCACATATAAGAAATACCAACCAAATGAGCACAACACTATTCTTTGAATTTGATTTTAAACACTTTTATTAGGAAAGGAAATTATTTCTCTTATTTTTCTTTTATTTAGGTATATATATATATATCTCCTAGATTTTACAAATCAGTTCACTAGTCAGTCATTAGGTAATCAAACTAGGCTTTGTCTTTCATTTATTTAACTTTAAGCAGCATGTAATGATATTGATCAGGGCCCCTATTTTGTGTAACACCTCACTGAAACAAGTACTTAATTGATGATACAAACAGCCACTGTGGAAGCATCCTATCCAGGAGAGAAAATGTATGACAATGAGTGTGTGCATGTCTGTATTTGTGTTGAACTACCCTTATATGCCAAGTGCACAATGTGGGCACTTTTCTAAGGTAAATTGGAAAATATTTGTGAGGGGTATTAAAAAAATGTTCTTCAAGACTCCTCTTTATAGGACAATGATGGCATCTACATGCCCCTTGCCCTTGTCCCCCAGTAGAAAAACTGCTTGGAACAAGAAATTCCTTTTCCATTTAACAATTCATTCCAGTATATCATTAAAAAAAGACAACATTTTACTTCTTTAAAGCCTTTACACAAAAAAATAAAGGTAAAGTTTAAAATCTAATATTGGATGATGATTTTATCTAAAAATAATGTTTTGGTTTATAAAGTTAGAGCTCAACTTGAATATAATACCTGGGTGAATCTGATCCTTGAAGGGTCAGTGAACTAATTACTATCTCCTGAAAGCAGACCAGGCATAATTTATCTTTCTCCTAACAAGCTTACTATCTAGGGGAAAAGTGGGGAACAAACAGGAACGCAGGCTCTACATGCAACCAACCAGCAGAAACTACCTATAGCCATGCAGATACACATGCAATACATCTCCAGGAAGGTGAAACACTTGAAAGATTCTATAAATTGTTACTAAAATTTTAACAATTTTGACTAGTTTGATATTGATGGAAAACTATTTCAAAGAATGAGGGTTTGATTGAATTTTAAATCAAAAAATTCTTGTTGATGTTGTAAAGTAGAAGAGACACATGTATAATGACAAAAGGCCACACATATTTGGGGAAGGAAATGATCTGGCACAGAGACAGTGAGTCAGCATGTCATGAGAACCACAAGCGCTTTAGAAAAGATGGAGGTGTGGTCTTCAATGCTGTGTCATTGAAGGCGCTTGTGTCCATGAGGCTCAAAAAAATGAATTTCCCAAGTAGCAAGTATACAACAAAGATGGTTTCCCTGTCAAGACTATTTGTTTCTAATGATAAATGGACTTGATAAAAATTTTTTCTGGAAAATCAGAAACCCAATACTGAGCTACATTTCCTAATACATACTTTAATCTATCATTCCAATTTTTATTTTTGGAAACTAGTAATAATAAGGAGAAAAGAAAAAATAATTATTGTGATACTTTTCATGCCTTAAGATGCTTATCCCCATTTTTTATACTTCTTGGTAAGATCATAACATAATCATACATCATAATATTGGTCACCATTGTGTTCTTGTTAAGCAAGTTTTTTTAAATGATCATAGCTTAGTAAAGTATGAAGGACTTACTGAAGTTTTATTCCTAAGAGCACTCTACCATTTGCAAATGCTCTATACCAAGTAAATGACTTGACACAAGTAGATAAATAACTTCTGGAGTTCTAATGCATTGCATAGTGATTAAAGTCAACAATACTGTGTTATAAACTTCAAAGCCACTAAAATACTGGATCTTAACTTGTTCTTACCGCAAAAAAAGAAGCGATAATTATGTAACCTGATAAAGGTGTTAGGAAACACTTATCGTCTTAATTTCAGAGTCAGACCTCAGACTGAATTCCGAGTTTTATAGATCCCAAAGCTAAAGCTGAAGGATGTAAGAAAAATGAATTGGTCACATTTGGATTCTGTATTTTCCAGCATTAATCAACTTTAAAAATTCTTGCCTTTACACCGTGACAGTTCTCATTATGCTCTAAAATCTTTCCTTCTTTATTTTACCTGCCCTCTGAGTTCAGTCTCTTCAGAAATTCTAGCTTTGCTTTTTCTTCACAACTATACCTCACACAGACATCAATGTTTGAAGCTCATTACATCCACTTTCATTGTCATTCTCTCATCAAATATTTTTGCCTCCTCTTTGCATATAGTATGGTTTGCATATCTACATGTTGTCAGGGTTTTCCTCTTAGTCCAATCAATTTAACAGTTCAGATTTTAAAGGCTCAACTGATGTCAAATGAATCTCTTACTCTGCATCCAACTGAGAAAAGGTAAGATAATAAGGCAAAATGTTTGTAGTTATATTAATTGTTGTGATTATATTCATCTGATAGTGTTCTACTATGATTTTTGGCTATTACTGTTCTATGAAAAAATATTGTGTATTTATGGTTAATACCTATATAATTACTTATATTTATTTTTAAGGCTATATTTCAAATAGATTTTTTCAAGATCTATATTTTCACAGGCCTTATTCTAGCATATTAAAGACATTAGGTTATTTGTCAACATGGCAAATCAGAATGCTATCTTTATATTGCTCTATTGGATGTTTCAGTATACATATTTCATTCAGAAAATTTTTTTAAAGAACTAAAACAAGCCAAAATTCTATTGAGATATATAAATTGATCATTAAAAAATGATATTTATGATGCCATTTCTACTGTTGTTTTGTTTTCAGTTAATTAATAGTTAACCAAGCAGTTGACTCATCAAATATCTGTTGACCATCAATGAAAAACAAACAGATATGTTCAATCATGCAGGAAAACTCAAAAATTAAAATATACTAACATACATAAATACCATGTATAAAGAATAATGAAAACAATTTGGCTTAATATATTAAATATAAACATTAAATTACGTTCTTAGAATCTGCTAAGTATTATTAAAAAGTAAAATTAATTAACATCTATTACATCATTGTATATTAATGTCTATAGTGTTTATAAAGTAATATAATACATTTACTGTAAAGAAAATTATGAATATAATTAATTAGGTGAATTAATTCATTCACAAATGCAATTTATTATACCCTGGGATAAATTAATATTAAGTTAATGAATCTGAAGAAGAAAAACTAAGAAAAAGTTTTCCATTTTAGTATTAAAACTAATAAAATTGCCATTTGGCAAGAAAATGTTGGTAAGAGTCTGTTATTTCAATAATACACTAACTTTGATTTTATGTTTTAGGGTAAGTGTAAATTTGGATGCTACACAACAAAAGATGTTATACATAAATATTTGAGATTTCAACAATCCTTAATACTAATATTAGGTTTAAACATTTCTGCCAGTTTTGTACTTCTGAATTAAAAGTCTTTGAAGAAATTACTATCTTTAGGAAAAGAAGAAAGCTCACCTTATTACAAAATTGTGACTGTCAATCTCCTTTCCACATTCACTATCTAGCAGAATGCCAGAATTTCCAACCACTGCACAGGTCTTAAATCTGCGATTTTTCATTGGTGAAACTTCAGGTAGGAGGCTATGCAGATCCTGAGAAATATTTAGTGTCCGGCGCCTGTCAAGCACATAGTGAATGACATCACCAGGCTTAAAACTGCTCTTGACCACTGAAACATCTCGTTCAGCATCTAGGAAACGAAGAATGTTCTTCCTATATTTGAAATACAAAGTGTTCAATTAATGACAACTCATCAAAGAACTGGTGACATTTACAAAGTACCATATGATGAAATGTAAATTGAGACATTACTAATATTAAATTGTGAGTTGGTAATTAAATAGATTCTATAGGAAATAGAATATATATTCAAAAATCATGTGCACATAGTTTCTCAATGATTTTCTAAATAAATACAGTATACACACTCATTTGTAGAGTGAAAAAAGTCCCCTTGCCTACCAAAACATACAGGGAAATTAGTTCAGTAAATAAAATACAATTGTCATGACTTGACTTTGCATAATTAGATATTCTTCCAGCTTTAATTAATTTTTTATAGTCATCTATTTTGTTTAATATTGTCTAATTAAGGTGACTAGAAATAACTTGAAATTGTTTAGAATTAGACTTTAATAAACTTTATTAAAATAATTGAGCTTTCCAATTAACTTATATACATTTACCCAAATTATGTGTTCATTATAATTATTTGAAGAAGAATGAAAACTATAGTACTATGTGTATTAAAGAGCTTGCTTCCAAGTTCAAGCATCCAGGAAGTAAGATGGGTACATTAGAGGAAAAGATAGAACACTGGACTCATGGCAGAGATAGCTAACTTCCCTCTAGTGTTCTTTCATCCCTTATGCCTTTTAGTATTGAGTCTTCTAAGTTTTAATTGAGCACATCAATGCTCAACTGGAACATTTCCAAGTTATCAAACCCAAGTGCAGCTCGGTTTGGTCATGTGAGTCTGTTTTCTTAAACAGTATATCAGTGAACCATGACCATGATTATATGAGAGAAAAATAAATTTTCAACTTCTTTGAACCACTGCATTTTAAGGTTTCCTTTTTTATGGAAGCTTAACCTATCCTATGTCTAATAAAGAAATTGGTAAAAGATGTAAGATGTTCTATAAATATCTATCTATCTATATATATATGCAACTACATATAGTTCTATCAACATCTATATATATATGCTAAGTTTGATGATGAAAAATGAAAAAAGTAGATATAGTGGGCTAGAAAGCTGGTTACCTTTGGCATGGTATAGCAAAGCTCCTAATAAAACTGTTGTCTGCAATAGTTTGGGAGTCACAGTATATATCTAACAAACCTGTTATTCTTGAAGAATTGTTTAAAAAGTGTTTATATATTGTTTGTTCCACTCAACAAGACCCTAAAAGATTGGTAAAGTTAGGCATGAAATAGCCAAATTGCAAGCTGAAATGAAAGGAAAAATCTCTAATAATAACCTATAATCTAAATTGTGTGAGAGTTAAGTAATTGAGACTTCCCAAATATTTCTGATACCTCAATGAGCAAGAGATGCAACTACAAATTACAGCCATCCCAGCAGCAAGAGGGATATTGTCTTTCCACCTAAGTGTGTTTATTCTAATGACTTAAGAATAGCTGCCATTAAATTGAGGGAGCCAGAAGACTGAAGTTTTCTGTGTTCAGAAGTTTTGGGGTGGGGTATTACATCAGGAACTAATTACAAAGAACTATCTCAGGAGCCTAATCAATTTTTGAGGATAATTATATTGCCAAAGAAATTATAAGCCTGTCTTACAAAGTCTGAGATTGCTTGATCCTTAATTTACCAAAGATATACCAGCTAGAAGCAATCTGAGAAAGCTCTTTGCTAGTAGTTTGAAAGTTGGATATTATTTACTAGTGTTCACTTATTGAAGTCTATATTTTCAGAGGTAAAATCAATGTCATTATTATAACAAGACATGACAAACATATTCTTCCTGTAGTGTTATTATTATTTAAGACTCATCATGTTCGTATACTTTCTTACTGAGCACAAAATATGGCCTCCTTCCATTGCTCCACCAAAAAGGCAATTCCCCAATTCACACTCATAAGCCAGACTCATGATTAGCAAGCAGAGATGGAAAATAACTAACTCATATCTTGCCTTTGATTTCCTTATTTTGACTTGCTTTAAATAGGTCCCAGTTTAATGTGTGGTATAATTAGAAAACCAAGTGATTAAAAACTTTATTTTGCCAGATTTTATATGGAATATGTTCATCATCTCTCTGAAAAAGAAAATGCTTTTTGAAAACTTTTCTTCGGGTTTTCCGAGTACAGGTCTTTTACCTCCTTGTACACTGGAAACAGACGTTGAGGAAGATACAAGTAAGTGGAAGCACATACTGTGTTCATGGATTGGAAGAATTACCATCATTATGGTGTCCGTACTACCCAAAGCAATGTATAGATTCAATACAGTCCCTATTAAAATATCAATGACATATTTCATAGATCTAGGACACATATTCCAAAAATTTATATGATTCGAAAAAGACCCCGAATAGCCTCAGCTATTTTAAAAAAGAAGAACAAAGTTGGAGGTATCACAGTGTTTGATATAAAACAATATTACAAAACCATTGTAATCAAAAGAGCCTGGCATAAGAACAGGCATTTGGGGCATTTGGATCATGGAACACAACAGAGAGTTCAGAAATAAACTCATATCTTTATGGTTAGTTAATGTTTGACAAGGGATGCCAGAGCATACAATGGAGTAAAGACAGTCTCTTCAACAAAAAGTGTTGAGAAAATTAGACACATACATGCAAGAAAATGAAACTAGACCACTGATTTACACCATACAGAAAGAATAATTCAAAATAGATAAAAGACTTAAATGTAAGTCATGACACCATAAAAATCCTAGAAGAAAATATAGGCAGTAAAATCTCAGATATTTCTCATAGCCATTTCTTTGCTGATACATCTTCTAGGGCAAGGGAAATAAAAGAAAAATAAGCAAATGGAATTGCATCAAACTTAAAATCGTTTGCACAGGAAAAGAAGCAATCAACATAATGAAAAGAGAGCCCACTGCATGGGGGAACACATTTGCCAATGATACGTCTGACAAGAGTTTAACTTCCAAAATATATAAAGAATTTATACAACTTAACAACAGGAAGACAAACAATCTAATTAAAAATGGGCAAAGGACCTGAACTGACACTACTCCAAAGAGGACCTATACATGGCCGATAAACATGAAAAAATGCTCAGTGTCACTAATCATCAGAGAAATGCAAACTATAACCACAATGTGATGTGATCTCACACCTGCCAGAATGGCCATCATTGATAAAACAAACAAGTGCAGGCGAGGTTGTGGAGAAGAGGGGGTCCTAGTGTGGCAAAGCAGACTGGTGTAGCCACTGGGGAAAGCAATATGGAGTTTCCTAGAAAAATTAGAAATGTAACTGTCTTTTGACTCAGGAATCGCACTCCTGGGAATGTATCTTAAGAATCCCAAAACACTAATCAGAAAGAATATGTTCACCCTTATGTTCATAGCAGCATTATTTACAATAGCCAAAGTCTGGAAACAGACTAAGTGTCCATCACTATCAGTGTATATGTGGATAAAAAAGCTGTGGTACATTTACACAATGGAATTCTACATGGCTATAAAAAAGAAGGAACTCTTACCCTTTGCAACAGCATGGCTAGATGTGGAGAAAATTATGCAAAATGAAATAAGCCAGTCAGAGAAAGACAAATACCATATGATTTAACTCATGTGTGGAATCTAATGAACAAAAATACAGTGATTAACAAAATAAAATCAGAGGCATGGATACATGGAACAGACTGAGAGATCTCAGAGGGGAAGAGGGGAAGGAGACTGGAAGAGATTAGCCAAAGAACATACATGCAAAGTCCATGGACACAGGCAACAATGTGATGAAGGCAGGAAATGGGGGGAGGTAGTTAGTGGAGGGGGGGAAAGGGTGAGAAAATGGGGGACATCTGTAATAGTGTCAATAAAAATAATAAAAATTTAAAAAATAGAAAAAAAAGAAAAATTTTCCTTAATAGCTGGACATTAGGTTCATAAGAAGTGGAATCTGTATAGGAAAACATGTATAACTTCCCTACAAATGAAGTTTAAAAATTAATAGAAATACTATTAGATAACCATATCCGTTCATTTTAACAATGTACAGATTAAATGAGAAGAGAATTTCCAGTGAATTCATCAATTACAGAGCCTGAGGATTGCAGGAAATTGAGGTCTTTCATGATGCTAAGCAAATATGATTCTTAACAAAAAATAATAACAAGTGTCAAGAGCAGCAATGCATGGAAAATTTTATACATACTTATGAACTACAATTTATTTGGGGGGAAAAAGTAATGTCTGAAGCTTGCATTTCAACAAAAATCTTTCATTTCCTGTGAAAACGACAAAGTTGGCTCTAAAATAAAGATTGCACGGATGTGGTCAAATCACCAAAAGAGATGGTATTATCATTTCTCTTTGAGAGTAATTTGTGTTTAAAGTCATAATTGTGTGAAGGGGTTGCAGTAGATATCTGAAGATGTAACTCACAAGTAGTGACATGTTTGCAAGCATGAAGTGAGTAGATTTCAGGTCCAGATTTGAAAGAAGACCCGAGAGCTCAGAAATCCCTTTCTTCATGAAAAAAGTTAACACTAAAATGCTTGCCAACTGATTGCAAGAGGGACTTTCCAATAACAGATAGAAAGCAGCAGAAATATTTTCAAGCATTGTCTCTAAATTCCTGAGTATCAAAGGATGTCTTTATTTACTCAGGGAAAATTGATATGAAATTGGACTATTAGAGTTCAGAAAAGTTTTGAAAGACAGAGCATTGTTTTATGAAGAAAATAATGTTTCATGAGATAAATAATTATTAAATGCAGATGATACTATTGTGTGTATTCTTCCAATGCTGCTATAGGCTCAACAATAGTTATTTTTTTTAATACCAGTGGTGAAAACAGTAAAAGTGTTTTCCAGGACAGAATAAAAATACCAATTCACATATGCTAATCAAAATATAAAATTATAAGTTTTTAGGCAAAACTCAGAATGATTGTTAGTGTAGTATTTTTTCTTTTTTGAAACTGGAGGAGAGGGGGAAAAAACCCTTGAACGTCTCCAGTATGTTCTTTTTGTTACATCAAACAAAA